CCCCAAAACCCCAAAACCCCAAAACCCCAAAACCCCAAAACCCCTAAAATTTTAGACTTCGTTGAATTATCAGAAATATTTATAAATGGACATTATAAATAGAAAGTCTGATAAAGATAGTATTGAGTGTTCAGAAGGATCCTCAGAGAAGTATCTTAAGGAAGATAGACTATCTGCTCCCCCTGGCATTAGTACCTATGACACTTTCAGTATTGATAATGTGTTCTGTACATCAAGCGAGCCAGTTGATATTACCTTTAATGAAGTGAATACTCAACACTCAGGAGAGAGCATTGTCAAGCATGATAATAGCTTTATTCAGGCAATGTTTAATTTTATAAAGTCCTTCATTGGGATTGGAGTAATCTCTATTGCTTCAATGGTTAAGCATGCTGGGATAGCAAATGCTGCAATTTGAATAATATTCACTGCAATTTTATCTATAATTGGCACAAATCTTACTATTAGTGCAAGAGAAAAAATTCTCAGAGATGATTTTGAAAATGAAGAGTTTGTAGGTAGAAGAACTCTTGATTCTGTACAAATTGCCAGGTCATTTGAAAGTCAAGCCCAGCCACAAAGAGAGGACAGAATTGATGCAGATCAGAATAGGTCATTCCAGTCTTTACCTAATGGTGACAATGCTTCATTAGACACAAACCAACTGCTGCTTTATAACAATTATCTCAAGTCATATGCAGAAATGGGGCAGAGATGATTCGGAGAGAATGGATATTATTTTTGAACACTCCTTTTAGCCTTGAACCAAATAATAGTGGTCACCGCTTACATGAGATTCTTTGATGAGTACTTTAAAGCGTATGCAATGCTTGCAACACTTATTCCAACTTGAATGTTTATGGATCTCAAATCGATCTCTTTATTTTCTACAATTTCAATATTTCTCATTGTCCATTGCTTGTTTTTAATACTTGGAGTCTCAATTAGTGATATCCCTGATAGCAATTTTGATGAAATCACTTATCTCGAATATTTTGAATTCCCTCTCTTCTTTGGAGCTTCTGTCTTTATGTTTGAGGGAGATATGGTTTGAATGAATATTCAAGATTCTATGAAAAATCCAAAACGATTTAAGTTACTTTCCTTCTGATCGCTAACCTTTATCACAGTCATGTGATTCATAGTATGATTTATTCCTTACCTAGCATATGGAAATGGAATATCTGATCCAATAATCAACTCTATATCGATTGAGGCAGTTAGAGATTACCTCAAAGTGGCTTATACAGCTGCTATTGGGTTTGGATGTCCATTAATGGTGTATCCTCTATGAGAAATATGCTACAGATCTGTTATCATTGATCCATATATTTCTCTGTTCAAAAACTACCCACTGTCAAAGTTCTACATTGCAGCTGTAGTATCTTTATGCTTCTGATATTTCTTCAGCAAAGTGATACCTGGGATAGGAAGCTTTATTAATATTTCTGGTGCGCTATTGGGGCCTACTTCAACAATTATTATGCCAGTTGCCTTCTATTTCAAAGCATATGGGAAGGATGTCCCTATGTATGAGTTTTCCCTTTACATATCCATCTGATTGATCTCAGGAATAATGGGGTTGATCTCCTTTGTTGCCACAATAATTGATGAAAGTGATTAACCTAATCATCCATTTCAATTTGTTCACCCACTTAAGGGGTTTTGGGGTTTTGGGGTTTTGGGGTTTTGGGG